CATGTGACTTGAGTGGCTGATTGGATGTGTGTCCGATTGGTTGGCTCGCGTGAGCGCTGTGGGTTGACTGGATATGTGACTCAGTTGTTTTGCCTTGCCTGCCACGAAAGCGGACCAGTTTGGCCGCGTGTACCCAATACACCCGTGTCCGTACTTACGCGTTCTTCTGACTTACTGTGAACTACAATAACGATGATCATCAATTAACCCCACCGTCTCTTCGGAGTATGTGGTCTTCCTTCCCCCCAGTATGCAGAGGCCATCTGGAAACCTTGAGGTGTGGCTACTCCTAGGTTCAGATATATTTATTCCAATCCTGGCCTGACTGTTCTGTGTAGACGTAGAGCTATTTCACATGGGACGCATTCTTAGTATCTATATTTAACATCGTTTCTTAGTCTTCTTGCTGATTTCTATGACCATGTGACTCGTTCGCACTCTATTTTAACTGTTAGAAAGTGAAAAGCAGACTGTTGGCGCGGCAGGTGATGCAACGCTGGATGAACAAGTTTGCTGGACTTCGACTTCTTCACTGGCCGCCTCAATGCCACAGTCGCTTCACTCTGAGGAAGTTCAGCTGAGTCAGTCTGAAGCTAAGCTTAATGATTTAAAGGTGAGTGTACGTACACCGGAAGTGATTGAACTCATCCGTACTACTCAGTCCATAAGTGTTCAGCTGAATGCGTATTCCGAGGGCTCTTACAACTTGATTCTGGTTGAACAGCGCTATTAATTAATGCGATTTGATCGTCTGATCGAGAAGAACGGGATGAGAGGGTCTAACGGGATGGCAAGATTGCCTTTATTATTTTTAAGCCTGAATCGTCTTCCAAAATATTCGTACGTTCTGCACTTGAGTGGTAGTCTTACAGTCGCATAGAGTTCCAATATGGATAAATATTCTCTAGGGAAATCCAAACAACTGTCCTAGATGGCTAGATGTTTCGCAGTTTTTGTGCGAAAATATTTTATGGCACATTGGACACCACCGTTCACAAGAATGTAGACTAGAGTGCCTTTGATATAGTGACATACTCCCCAGAATAGAAATTACCCTGGAAAGAACAACATGGCTTTTCACTGCAACCACCATTAGTAGAGACACCTTTATAACAGAAGTGGTTAGCTTGCTTTTGAATAAACTTAAAGTGCCTGGTATCACTGAGTGGGGTATTTCAAACGGATGATTTACCTCTGACGCACTAACCAGACAGACTACTGGATGTTTTTGGTCAACTTTCGTCCTAGAACACTCCAAGAGATTTTCAGATCCATCAGTTCTTCAGTGTCCATAATAAGTTCTACATATTTTTTCCAGCTCCGCTACCACCAGGTCGTCCATTCAATGCTCGCCGCTCTGAAGGAGAGTGATTATCCTTCAATTTCCAGACTCTCTGAATACTTCAGAACGACCCTAACGCTCATGAAGGTAATATTAATTGCCATGTTGGTGAAATTGTTATGCTATTCCAGAGCGGTACATTATGCAGTACGTTACGCACTTGATCTAAGTTAATTATCCACTTAGCAGGAAGTATCTGTTTTGTCTGGTGTGATTAGTGGCCTCTGTTTACGTGCTTTCTCCAACGTTCTGTGCAGGAGATCTCGACTGAACTGAGCCTTTTGACGCGGATCGAAGGAAGCAATTATCCAATGACGACACCACTTATTGGGGATGACGAGAGAGACAAAGAAAATATCATTACTCTGAAGCCGAATGCAATACCGCTGTGGTACAGAACTGAGGGTCTCGAAATTCATACGAAGTACTTTATGGATGCCGTCAGCGAATGTGAACACCTTATTCTCACTGCCTATGAACTTTCTGAGCGTGTGTCATCGATGACAGCAGTGAGTCTGGTCACACATTTTAACCCACCCAAATCAGCTGCATCCTTCTTCCAATAACTGTCTACTTAAGTCTTCTCATTAACACTCAACCTCAGTAGTAAGCAGCTCAACCTTTTCCACATAATGGTAGTGCTCTTCTGTTCTTGGACTGAATGTCCTTTCTCGCAAACAGCAGAGGACCAAGCACATTTTCAGTCCAGATTCGTTACGTATTAGTCCTCCAAAAACGCTCTTCATATGAATAGTTTGTGTTTTCGCCTTTGTTCATCTGCTCTCCATATTGGCCGTGAATTTTCACGGGTTCCTTAGGCCTCATAATCACGGCGCGTCCATTGCGTTTCTAAGAAAATTATTCGCGATCAACACATGTATATAGGCCGTTTCTTACAGCCTGAGAATTATAATCTCATTTCGGTAGCAGAACAAGTGACCGGCGATCTGGTTCATGTACTGGGTTCACGATAGTTACCACCAGTGCCTAGGTGAAGTTTTCTGGAGTTTTAGACGTTATGTAAAAAATGATCCCAGTGAACTGTCAAACTCATCTTAATAACAACAGCATATGGGACACTTCAGTTAGGTTTGAACCTAACTAGCAGCACAACACTTTACTCGATCGTTTGAAAGAATGCATTATTTCGCCTATTCTGTGACCTTTAGAGGCAATAGAATGTAGATATCGCCTAATCAATGCATTGTTTGTCCGTATTTTTATGTACCCGCAAGTCTTCCTTTTAACCAACTGTTTTTTTTATATTGTCTGGAGTGTGGTGCACCATTCTGTCCACTAGCTTACGTTAGCAATACTCTGGTGTAGCCAGGCCGAATGTATTGTGTATCGTCCAAACATGTCTATTTCCATCTGACCAAATGAACAGCTAGCGGTTAACTGATTGTGTTACACGTCGAATTTTGCTTCTTAGGAATAGCCTGTCTTCAACAGGTGTGAGCTTCGGTGGATCCGTGGTGTCAACATCGAGAGTGAACAGTGAGACTGCATGAAGTCATGTTTCTCTGGTCTTTTGGACTGAGGTAGACGGTACGGGTGTCTGAATCGTCTTGAATAGAAAGCAGAAAGAGAGACTCCAGTCTTCCTGCTTGTCAGACTTGTGTCTCGCGAAAGTGAGCTACTAGTTGTTTTGTCGTGCGTGCCCTATATGTCCAGTTGCACGACAGATTGATGTATCGCTTGCTTCGAGAACCGAGCAGTCGGGGCCCCACTCCTGAGCAATAGTTCGAGAGATTCGGGGATTCTAGAAGAGACCAAGGCGCACATAATCCAGACACTAAGAACATTTATCAGCAGGTTTTCGTATTTGGAAATAGAGACTTGCGTTTTGTATTGACACTTTCATGACTCTGCTCTATTTTTCACAGCGTCTTGAACCCTGGTTAGAGGATCAGTCACGCATACTTGGTGAAGTTAACCAAGTTGACCAGAGCTCATCTACTCCTGATGAGTTATTATCTCTGCTCAACACACTTTCAGTAAGTCCAAGCGCACAAACCATGACATCTGCATTTCATTTTATTCAATCTATCTCTCCCGACAAACCTAGAATGGACATCGTCCCCAAATTGAAACACCGAGTAGACGGTCCATATAGAGCGTGTACATGAATAACCGTTTATCCACTTGGCTGGTATCTTGCTAAAGTATGACCCATCACTGAGAGGGTTGTGTATTGTATGCAATTTCCATACGGGGAAGATGGCACGATTCCCTTTATAAAAGATCTGACAGCGGCTGCTTGCATTTCCCGCCAATCTATCAGCATGATAATAGTGATCCCTTCATTGGGCTGGAGCAGTGAGTGAAATATAATGTCTGATCTAGAAAATGGAATGACCTTCAGCTTACTTAACCCAACAGGACTTATTTGCAGATCCGGAACTCGATCATATACCAACTTCACAAAGGCGGTTCTTCTGTGGTGACGGCCGGTCGTCTTACTTGGACAGCAGTGAATTTGTCAGATATTCCCGATGCTTAAGCAGGGATGAACCTAAAAGTCTGATTTTGTTCACCCCATCTTCATTTCTACCCTTTAGCAGACGGCTCATTATGCTCGTGCTTAAATTGCACACTGACCTCTGACTATTTATTGCTTTAGGACAAGCTACATTCCGAATCTTTCATGTGATTGCAGGTGCGCCTAAATATCAGTATGATTCAATTAGGATGTTAAGTGGATATTTGGATATCGGGATATTGGGATTCACTCATCCGTGTGTTCCGCTGCATATTAATTTTCGACTATAGTGCAGTGTTTGGCGATCAGAGATAACGCCGGAAAGATCACCCGTTTTCCTTTCTAATGATTATGTGGTCTTATACACTTAGTCGCTTCATACCTTGAGGCTAATGGAGGACCCGACTGAATCTCAGGTCTACGCAGGTTGGTTTCCACGAGGTTCCTTGAATAGGGAAGTCGTCCAAATGTGTCAGACGTTTAATGAATTTTGAGTCTTCTTTCCAATGTTTCGTACATTGCATTCATCATTTGGAACACACCCAGGAGTCTGTCTGTTTTCTATTCCAGACCACAAAATTAATGATCCGATCAAAGGCAGGCGCTATCGGTCAAGTCATTCATGACGTTAATAATCTGCGGCAAACTCTGGGGCAGTTCAGTGCCAAAGTAAATTTTGAAAGGCATTTGATCTCCTGGGATGCCCACCACCAAAACCAGTCGACATCGCCAACAACTGAGGTTTACAGTGACGTACTTAACCTACCACTGTATACACATCTTGACCGGTTGGATGTGGCTTATACCAATCTGATAAAGATGTGTGCAGATTCCACAGTGAGTCAGTTATGATTTTAGAATCAGTACTTTCTTTCTTTCGGGTATATGCCAGTTTGGTCTCAACTTGTACCACACGAATAGAACTAGTGGTACTCAATATATCGCAAACGGCAAAATCCGTCAGTTGGCAGAAGGCTTTTCATCATGAACGTGTTGTGAGATAATAAGCGGCTGAGGGAAGATTTCACTGAGTTTCACCTCCCAACAACTGGCCTGCCGAATAAAAGGCTTTTATGAGGGACGCTTTTCAAACATTTTGCCATTTTTAGTCTCTGAAAAGCACCATAGCATAATTTGGCTTGGAGTAACTTCTTCCGGTTGGAAGGTCGGAATGAATTTTTTCAGATGGGTGTGGGTGAGATCAACATTGACAAGCACTCATCGACTGATTCGGAGCGAAGCACCCATTTCACATGAAACCACTGTTTGAAGCTTTCAATCTGTCTTAATTTTCACATTTTGTTTTTCAGAGAACTATCTATACTCGTCTGTTTGAAATCGGACGCGCCGACCTGGTTTTGCGCGACATAGGGCAAACTGTGAACGACTGTGGTGTATCTGGACCGGGAATCCCCCCTAACGATGAGAAGGAAAGTTTCCAAGCCACCCTTCCAACAATCACAGCCGACATTTCTGCGGTGACCGGGTTTTTTTCTGGAATCGTGCGCAGAAAACAGTTAGAGGTCAGTCAGACATACATAATCTGGTTTTTGAATCAATAGTATGTTGTTTTCGAGCAAAACCCAACCTGAGCAGGACGCGAAAAAGCGTCAACCAGCTTCAAAGGCTAGTTCGGTCTCATGGTGGAGAGTTTTTTGGCTGCACAAATATCACGAGTTCATAGGAATGTCAAACGATGGGTACGACGTAGCCTGTGGTACTCATACCTAGTTTCACTTACACACACGCCATGAGTAGGAAGCTTTGGCTACGTGTTTAAAGATATAAGTTTTGTGGAGTCTAGTATGTCGGCTACCTTAAGAAGTGAGTTTCTTTCTCTAGACAAGTTATATATTCGGCGTCGTTGAAATCTCCCATTTTTCCTGACCCCATAGGGTGACCAAAACATAGACCTATTTAAGGCGGAACTCAGCTACCACAATACTGCTAGACTTTCAACTAAAATGAAGAATTGGCACCCACTTGGTTCTGTGTCTAAGAAGAGACAGGTAACTCGTCGAATCACACTATACTTTCCCATTACAATATTGAAAAACCAACCAGTACCTGTCGCATCAGGGAAGCGATCATAACGAACAGAGGAAGAGAGCTAATTGATTTACCCACAGAAACATTGTCATAGTAGATAGGGGGTTGTTACGTAAAGGTTCGCTAGTGAGTGAGGGGCACTGACTCGTAGTTTCTTCGTATATACCGGCTTCATCTCACAAAGACCTGACTTACATGGAACAGGACGATCCTGTTTTCCGAAATAATTCATTCACTGAACGCGCCATAGCACTAAAACAAAACTGAGGAGCTGCTCTTATACAGCAGCTGCAGACTGAAGCAAAGTTTAGAACTCTGGAGGGTCCTGCGTCTTTGGTTCATTATCTCAGTCCTTCAAACTCCCCCGAATAGCGTCAGTGTTGTGGCTTGGTTTGTGCGGGTAGCTGAGAACAACCAATAATTACAGGAAAAAACACTGACTATTAGTGGATTACCTCTTAACAAAAAAACCGAGTGTTATTTAATCTCACCAGGCGATCAGTAGGACGACGAGAACGCAAGTCTTTTCGACAGGCATGCAACCTCCTAGCAATCTTTGTTGAAATGACTATCATGGCAATTATCGAAGAAATTAAAATATGTATAGTGCTTAGCGGTTAGCGCAAGACGAACAGTGACAACCAAATGCTGTCATGAATTGTGTACTAATCAGGAACATAAAATTCGGGATACTTCAAATTCTGCTCTGGGGTCAACTGGAAGGGCGACAGAATTGTAGTCATACTTGAATTTAGACGAATTGTGAATCTGTAGCGGTTTCAACTGTGAAGCAAACCGAACGATAAACCCCATGAGTTCCACAGATAGTTTGCGTGCAATGTCGCAGTTTTCAACAGCTGATCTTAGCTAAGGAAGCTTGACGCACTGTAGTTGTTCCGAAATAAAAAATGAATTGCAGGCAAGGAAATGATCCCTTTTTGCTGCTCATTAAGGTGAAGCGTTTTTCCAACCCTGTGGACATTCATTTTCAAGTTTATCTCTTCTGTTTGTCTCAAGAGACTCAGAATTTCCAGGCGTTTCGCTTGGTTGAGGACTGATTTTGATATGCTATGCCCATAGAACTTCATTTTATGCCAGAATAACGGGGGATTCTATCAGGGACATTTCCGTGAAGTACAAAAACAAAGATTCCAGTTTAATCCGAATTAACACTGGGCGGTGTCCAGCCACCCATTCGTTTGGCTTCTGCAGCATTTCTGTTTTCATGTCCTCTATAATTACTTTTATGCCATTTTGAATTCGCTCACAGGGCTGATAAACCTTTTATCCCCCTGTGAACGTCATTTCATGCACTCGGGACTGCTCGAAACTGTCGAAGGCTAACGAATTCTGAGAGAGTAACTGATATGTCCTGAGCTAAGCTAGGCGGATTTGCCAAATGGTCTAGTGGAAATATCCCGCTACCCCACTGCTTATTGCGAGACGATGAAAATAGGTTGTCTCAAGAAGGAATCGTTAGGGTTCATCTCATGAGCGTAGCCAAAAGAATCCCTCTGTAACCGAACAACAATCATCAACAGGTTTTTTGTAGTGTGTCCAGAAAAATGTTTCGTTTTTCCACCTCAATCCAGCTGGAAAATGAGGCGGTGTTTGACTGATTTAGTAATGAATTTATATGAGATATCCTTCAATCCTCTTCCGTTGGGTTTGCACCAGCTACAGGGAGTTTGGTTCAATGTATGTGTATCTTTGAATGAACTACATGTACCATTACCATTGTGCGTCGGGATTCACCAGTCTTGTCCGGCCTGACCGGCCACGAGAACACAATGGTCAACTCAAGATCATTCATCGTTTTCTATAGAGGAAAATGTTGGTAGCTCAGGTATCGTAAATGGTGGTCGTTGGCTTGTTCGCTGAGCTGGGCAATTTGATTGCAAACGTTTCATCACCAATCGAGGTGACATCATCAGTGCGTTACGCTGAGCTGGGCAATTTGATTGCAAACGTTTCATCACCAATCGAGGTGACATCATCAGTAGCGGTGGGTTGGTGGTTGTGCACAACCACCAACCCACCGCTACTGATGATGTCACCTCGATTGGTGATGAAACGTTTGCAATCAAATTGCCCAGCTCAGCGAACAAGCCAACGACCACCATCATTCATCGTCTCTGTTAATTTCACTGGTGGATAGATTTAATGCATTTGTTAGATACACCTGGAATTCAAACCCTGAAAGCAATTTGAGAGATTTCTTATCTGTTCTGATATGGCTATCTTGGACCTATTTTTCCGGTCTATATTACATTCAATGTGTTGTAATCGTTTCTTTCGCGTCGATATTTCCTACTTATGCATCTCAAACAGGGGATGTGCATGGGACACTGGCGGAACTTCTCTGTTTTGCTGGTTTATAACTCCGTTCATGACTACAGAGTTATCTTGATGATCACAACAGAACACTTGTATCCTGATTACAACGACAGTAATTCAAGTCAATGCTTGACATGGAATGTTTTTCTAGGTATATGTTTCAGAACTGACTACTTATCAGACACTGATGCACGAATTTGCCGATGCTCAAAAGCAGGGGCAGGTTCCAATCGTGTGTGACGCAAGCTTGGATCCAATGTGGCAGCGTGTTTACAACCGTTTGCTGATAAATCTCAATACAAGCTCCAACAGTCTACTCAAAAGCAAGTGTGAATTTGCTCAGGTAAGTGCAAGGCTGTGCAGTAATTCTCTTGTGATGTGGTATGTTGTCAAGCCCTTGGTGTTTTGTCCACGAGGTGATACACTCGTGTGTCGACCCTAATCACGCTTTAACCGAACAACTGGTGTAACGCTGATACTACTGATGGGGGCGGCATGCGAGTAGCATGTTTTCATCTCGTAACTTCGATTGAAAAGGGATATCTATTGCGAATTTGTGGAGTTGCTTTGTAGCAACACTCAAATGAGTATCCAGGAAGGTTCAAAAAGAGGTGTTCAAGAGAAGATAGATGTTCAGGTATTGTAATTAATATGCATACGAGGATTTTGCTTTCCTGTCCAATAGTTTGTAACTGGTCAGTTGGCATTTTCTACTAAATAACTCCGCAGCGAAGGCCTTCTTTCACTGCTACGTGAGCTTTAACAACGAGTTTGATATTACCTCAGTGAACACACAAAAAGTACTGTGAAGCCTGGCTGACGTCAAGGTGACAAATATAGACATACTGGCGGAATATGGCTCAAATTCTCAATTGATTTAAAGGAATTTACTCCTCTTCGGCGGACCAGTAAAATGGGTCGTTTCATGAAGAGGCGTCATGATTCCACTTCCCCATTTTTACAAGGAATAGGACGATCTAAAGTTTTGTCTTTTTACTATGTAGAGACTGTAAAACTTCGAAATGGTAGCATGGATGCTACAATCCAATTTTACGAACTTTATCTCATGTCAGTTGATTTTACCGTAATATGTTGTCACATTATCTCCCAGTCATATTGGTCCTAAATTTGGGAGTTGAAAGGAGTGAAATATCATATACTATCGCGAAGAGGATCTGTAAGACTGGGGCGTCTTGGCGGCAATCGGTTGTGTTTTAGGGGAGAATCGGTAAATTGCTGAGTTCAGAGTGGTCCACTGTGCAACTCTCTTGCAAGTCCTTTAAGTCCTGTTCGTAATGCGAGTTGCGAAAGCCCATATAAAAGCAGTGGAAGTGTAGGCTGTCAAAGAAACGGATGTTTAATGTACATTTACTGCATTTTCCAACTGTAATGTGATAATTCTGTGCTTCAAACCTAATTGATTAAGTAGATTTTGCAGCACTAAAATTAATGCTGTATACATGTATTGCACTCTGCTGTTTAGCTACTCATAGTCAATCAGTAGGTACATAATTATCTACTTTACTTACAAATGGAAGGCGGCACTGAGCACTTTTCCTGATCCACACTTAATTGGGATTCTTTCCTGTTAGCCTGATGATGCGTCCGTTTGTTTCTACTTTTTTCTGAAATCCGCAATATAACATCTCTTAATATGTGATTCGCTTTACGCTGTATGTTGACTCTCTTCTAATCTCCGCCTTATTAGCAAATCTTGATGGTCTCCGTTCGCACGACTGCAGGTCATGGTGTCACTGAAGGATTTGTAGAGTTGCATTGAACTACCCTGTGTCGTGCAATTCAGTGGGCGTTTCTGTGTTGGTGGCGGGGTCTTCTGCAAAGTCTGACCTCAACCGACGATATGCACCAGTGAGGAGTTTCAGGCAAACTAAGACAGGTAGTGGCTGCACGCTAAACCCACATGCGGACAGTGCCGTAATGCACGCGCTTGTTCCTTCAAACCACTAGCAGTGATAGCCGTTACTGGTCAAAGAGTCAGCTAGGCAACGGGATAATCTATTGGTTGACTTTCTCAACCCTTGATTTCCTCGAATCGAATCGAGTCTATGTTAGATATCATCATTACTGTCAATATGTTTTACCTGGATTTGTCGCAGCAACAAAGAATATGCGCAAGGCAACAGCGATCGGTAAGACGGTGCTTAACTGATAAAAGCGTATATTTCTGCCTGCCCGAACAATAAACTTTAGTTTTCTCACTGCTGCTTGTTGTAGATTCTTCGTAGTTGAAAGCACATTTGTTGATAATGGTGCTCGTCGTTCACAGTCGCTCACGGTGGTAGTCCAGCAGCGCACTTGATATCACAGTTACGCAGTACCGCAGTTGCCATATGCACACAGTTCTTTACTCAACCCTACTCTGCACTTCAGATACGAAAAATCGACTCATTTATGTTCAACAGTGCATCTTGGTTTCGTCGAAACGGTTCTCGCCTATTCAAATGGATTGACCCAAAGGGATTGAGTCTGGAGACCGCTAGCGCGAAGTTGAACGAATTCCAGGTAAGCTTTCTACTGAACTTTTACTCTTCGTAACAAGTCAATTTAGAGTTAGCCGTTCTCACTGTTTTGACTCGCGGAAAGAGGAAGATGACGAATTCCCTAATTGTGTATTCCATTTCAGGAGGTTTGTACCAAAATAGAGCAGGAGAGTCAAGTGAAATCCGCACAAACGATGGATAACATTCGGGAATCGATTATGCTTCCGATTTCATCCGACCCAATGATCAAGAAATTTGTAACTTATTTGGAGGTCGTTCTGCTGGGGAATAACTCCAGCGACCACCTTGAAGCACTGGATAGTCTTTCTGCTCCCGGACTGAGGCTGTTCGTCCGTGAGCAACACCGGTACAAACGTTTCGTGTCCTTCCTGCAACTGGCTTGGGGCTGTCACGTAAAGTTTGTAGCTCACTATGAAGAGAAAATGCATAAGTTATCGACTGCGTTCCAAAGTCTACGTGCAACTCTAGATAAATTGTATCGTCCCTCAAAGTTGGTGGCCCAGTGCAATGAACAGCTGATGGAAATTAACGTGAGTTTCTCTAGTCTGATGCGCGTAATTTCGTGGCTCCTGTTTAACCGATCGAAGATATTTTGCCCTATGTTTAAAGACGCTTTAATGTACCCATAGTTTAACTTGGCAGTTTCCTACGTTCATTTTCCAGCATGTCTTGTGTTTTAGACTGCGATCTCCACACTCCAGGCACACGCTACGATTGTAAGCGATATGTATTCCGCGGTACCACAGTTAAGATGTTTATGTCAACCTTCGGAAGTGTCGAAAATGTTGGCAACAATTCGTAGCATGAAGCACGAGTTCTTGTGTCTTAGCAGCCGAGCTGAAGAGCGGAAGAAGATTCTTCAACAAGCCCTCAAGGAGGACATTGTGGTAAGTGTAACTTGGTTGGTACTGGCCAACCTATTTCTGGGGTTGTTGTAGTGAAAAACCCCAGGTGTGATCTAGCAACGGCGTCTAAAACAAAATACCCCACTGCAAACTGAGAGTACATACGGACCACGACAGATTTACAGGATCATCCTGGTCTTTATTTGCAGAATACAACTTTTCACTGTGTGGCGGACGCATATGCTTAAAGGAAGTTAGGTTTGGAGAGAAAAAGGACAAAGTATGGTTCTTAGAGTGCTTCTGTCATCTTTTTTTGAGCTAATTGGGCGGTTGGTACCAATTTCCATGGGACTTTTGGTGACATAAAATCCAGCACCTTTATACTGCAGACAGTGTTTAGAATACACCTAACTAAAAATTTGATAAGCTAGACTAAACATCTGCCACAGTGAAATGACTTCTCACAATGGCATGTGATCTGGATTTTCGTCTGAACATCTATGGTTGTCTGAGTCATGTTCAATTGGCATCTGATACGGGCTCCAGGTGTTGGTGGTTGCTGGATTTTGTAGAATACATGCCAACACGACTCTTGTTTTTGTACAATGGTCCTCCCGCTTTGGTTCACCCGCAAGCCTTGGTCGCATCAGTGAAGGCCTGCGCACTGTTTCGATAACATGAACTGTTTGAACGGGGCCAAATATGTTATGTAGTATGTCAACCTGAATATGATATAAACCGAAAGGATTGATTATTTGTCCTCGCACAGCGGTCTAGACAAGATATCGGGGGTGATCCCATGTTTCGACATGAGCTTTTTTAGTTTTAAATTTCCATGCCTTTCTTGAGTATTTTGCATCTGCTTTTGCTTTCTCGGAACTTCCGAATGATTACCTGAGTTTGTTTGTCGTTTCACTTATTTTGTCAGCAGTTCGAGCGCTGACTGTACAATGTGAAATGAAGTAAATGCGTGGATAATTAAATGTGGGCAGCATTCACCAAGTTGCAGGATTTATGACACCAAGAATGAATTTGGCGAAAGCCAAGGAACTGCACATACAAGAGAGTAATAAGGGCCTTCTTACAGTGTGTTTGCGAAACACGACCACTCTGATCCGAAGTCTCTAGACGTCCTCAAACTTTTGGTAACCGTTGTCTCCGTAGCACAACGATATTTAACTGCCTTTAGTGAATATTCAACGAACTGGTGCATAGGCGGACTGTTGGTAGCGAATCAGATTCGTCAGAGCAGCGGATTAAACGCACTAGGTCGAGACGATTGGGGCATCCGTTACATATTTTTTAACCAACTTCTACTCATGAAAGCATAGTTTTCTGTTCCAAGTGATTGTTGACGCAAGATTTTACGGGGGATAGACCGCGACATGACAACGTGGAATTAATGCAACTACCGTCGATTTGATTGCTGTGGGATTTTCGTGCGTTTTCGCCAGAGGCCAACTTGGTCCTGCTTCCAGTTGGTTGGAAACCATGCATGAAATGACACGCAAGCGACCCCAGTGGTGCGCGTGCTGTTACTAGCCGGACTACCTAATTAGAGTTCATTTGTCATTGTACGCTGAGCCTATGTTGGGTGAAGACGTAGTGTCAATCCCACCGACATTACTTTACTTCTACACGAAAAGCTGATATGTTTATTTTAATGCCGTCCAAAGGTGTGGATACCTCCGTCTTGATCGTCCTCCTAAAGGTTCAAGGACTCTGCCATTCAGTATTTCGGGGTTACTAGTTGGAAAATTCTTGGGGACTGTGGTCATTTGTTTTCTCGGGACACATGTTTGTGTGAGATACTTCAGTTTCCATGTACTGAGTCGAATTCCGCTTTTTCAGTTTGACACAGCCTACAAGCGTTTGATGTCCGTTCTGAAACACTGCTGTGAAGAGAAATCGTCCAACTCGCCAGCTAGCTCGACTGTAAAGGATGCAAAGGCCTCCGAACCACAGGTAAGCCTCGTGGATTTCAGTTATTTGGCTGCCAAAACTGGACTTCATCTGAGTACCAAGTAAGCTACAAATAAAGCTGGTCCATTACGTTGCGTTCATTTTTCCGGCAGATACTATTTGCTATTTAGGGGAATGTTGCTAGGTAGCATGTCTGGTCTTTCGTTTGTTGACTGAGCTGGACAGGTTGATCACAAACTTTTCACTACTAATGGAGATACGTTTTGTCCATTGGAGTATGGTGGTTCTTCAGTGGATCTGAGTAGTTTGATGGTGTACTAATAAACATGGTATTAGTCTCGAGCAAAATTTGGATTGGTTGTGTTCTGCTTGGTCGACATACATGAGACCCACAAGCTTGATCTCTCCTGTTCTAATCCAGTAGCACGTGCACATGTGAGCCCTATACTTGGATTTTCTGATGTAGATACAAGACAATTTTTATCCCTTGATTTATTAACTCAATATGCGGACCTATTGGAGTATTGCGGTTGAGTCCTTGGCCTTTTGCACGTAGTGGTGCATACAATGGACCCGTTCGACTTGTCTGTCAATCGATTCGGTTTTGGAGCGTCATCCCTCTTGACTTGTGTCTCCGAGTTCCAAGGCCTATAGGTTTTCCAAGTTGAATTCGTGGCCTCCCTGATTCTCAAGTAGGAAGATCAAGGATAACAGATCATGCCTTTAGATGACCGCATACATTCGTGTAGCTAATTTTCTACAAGTTTGTCCAAAATAAAGCATGTTGCGATTGCTGCAGTTGGTCTGTGTTTTGCCATTGTCGCTCATTTTGTGAACTGTCAGAGTTTCAAACTTAATTAATTAGGTGACGAATTTTGTAAGTAAAAGTGGAACTTCCTATCAGGAAAGAAAGTTCAAAAGGAATTAATCAGTAGGTTGTTATAGGGAGCTCACAGAGTGCCTCGAAAGTGTCGCATATTGCATGTTGCTCAGTTGCTTGGGATAGCTTAGTGGTCTTATTGAAGAGTGCGATTTCCAGATAACAGGTGCCGTCGACCTCATTTAGATAATGTAATCGTTTTCCGTTTGTACTTAACAGAAACGTAATCCCTCGTTCTTCACACTATACCTAAAAATTTCCTATTTGTTTCGATACGTAGCTAGCCTTATTTCACTTCGATTGTCCCTCCCATGGGTATAAGCTGGGTTCTTTAATGTCTCGTAAAAAATTGCTGAAGCATGTTGGTGAGCATAAATGCTTTCTTTGATGTCGTGTTAGTGTTAACTCTCGCGAAGTAGACGTAGGAGTGTCAGGAGGCTTATATTTATTCCTCTACTCTCACGATTATGGATCAAAACCATTTAGGAATATGTCGACACGTGGGCGATGAATGAATTGACAACCCCTCAAATAAGACATTGCAGAATGATCTGGTAAGAATCCTACATTGCCTTAGTCACAGCCTAAACTGACAATATTTTTATTTGAGTGATGTGAAGAACAATCACGAAACACGAAACCCGAGACCTTTTGAGATTCCCAACGGATAGTCTCAGCGAATCCAGATATATTCTATTCCCTTAAGAACACTGAAAGGCACGAGTTTGAAGAAGCATAGCTATAATGTAACAGAGTGCACATTTTCTCTGGTAATCGGTATCCAGTGAACACCCTGCTTTTCCATGCAATTAAGTTAGTTGATCAAACCAGTCATAAGTAGACAACCGCCCTTCTAAACAAAACGTACGTAGTGCACAGAAATTCTCAAGTTTCCGGCAGTTGCTTTATTGTGATTTCATAGCTTCGGTAGGAGCCTTCCTGACTTGCCTCGCAATCGTTCAGCTGTGACACCTTTCGGCGCTTAGGTGCCATGTCACCTGAAGAAATCACGAGAGCTGGGATACTAGCAAGATTCCCAAGCCTAGACAGGAAAGTCGAGATGCAGAGGTCGGTGTCGAACGACGACCTTCCTATCAGTAGATTCGCGCGCATGGATCCATCTCGCCCTTGTGACCTACTTGCTCTGTTTCGTTCGCCTAATTGACCTTGGCTGAACTTTCACAGTCATTGGTCGTGCTTCTTCACCCTGATCTTTTGCATGAAAGGGATGAAGGCGTGATCTCTCTAAGTCGTTGTAAGTAAGAAACATGAGATTAAGCCATATTGTCCATAGTGCACAAACAATTCCACCGGCGTGATAGAGATGCACAGTCGTCTCCAGTTCATTATCGAAACCTATGACTTGACCCGGGCCATTTTAATAGTGCAAGCTTCTCACACAACTAGAGGAGAAGACAGAGAAGCTTGGAGTGAGTTGCAGCTGTCAAACTTCACGTAGATGTCGACACACTCACGAACCGTTTAAATTTGATACAGGGTCTGCACCACTTGTGTTTCTTGGCTGTCTTAACTTGGCTTCGGAAAACGATTTGTTGTAACTACATTTTTCAACCAACTCTTACTTTTCGCAGACCGTTTGATACTCAGTGCCTTTTTAAACACCTTCGACAATAATTTGTGGGGCAACAGCTTTGATCTGAGGGACTATTGATCCCCAAAACCTCAGTTGACCATTGTTTTTCATTATTACAGCCAAGCTGGGATTTACAAAGAGAATCTGCCAACTATTCGGCTGTGTTACGGCTGGGATGCTATCTTCGTGATCGGTGCACACAGTCGGATCCCGAGAGAGGAATTATTGACAACATGTTGACCGACTTGCGACATTTGTGGTACGCCTGTTTTCGGAAGCAAGCTGAGCGGTGAGCATATCACTGTTGGATCATTAGATCTATCTTTATCATACACACTGGAGCGAGGTCTCAGGGCCACCTATGATTTTAAACATCACTCAATTCTTGGCGGGTGATCAGCACCCAACATCTCAGAAACCAACATAAGAATGTGGAAGGATGTTACTTTGGTCGACTGAAGTTGGAGCACCAAGTAGTGAAAAATAAGCCGACAAACTCATAAACATCCCCATGATACCGTCTTGAGGAGAGAGACTCCGACCATTCTGTCGCCTCTTTTCGTCTCAGAACAGCCGTAAATCACTTCAGTGCAATTTCAGTGCTTGTGTGGATAACATCTAAGAAAAGTTAAGCTGTAGGATGGCCAGGATTAATGTGTTTTTAAGTCATAGATTCTCCACTGGTGCACTCTCTACAAAACATCATTTGGATGGGGTTTACGAGCTAGCCAGTCCAAGAAGCGGGACATCAGTGGAGTGGAACCCGACGTAGGTCTTTTACTCCTCTTATTTTGTAATTTGAGGAAGCTGATGGATCAAGTATGAAAGCAGTACCCCCTACCAGTAAGGGCATCTAGAGTATTGAAGAATTTATGGAGTGGCTAACATTTTTAACTGGATTGGAGTAAGAGGCTTTGTGCGATTTTCATGTGAATTGCATTCTTCATCAACGATGCAGGCAATTTCTTAAAACTATATGATACCGGTAGAACTGTGACGTATACCATAGAAATGTGATTTTCCAATGTTGCAGCAGATATTCAGCGAGTAGTGGTTGTACAGTTGACCCCATGGTGACATCATGCTTCTGACGATGGTGCGATTCATTGGGTCCGAGTTGAGACTGAATGGATTGTGAGGCTGATAAGGAATTTCTTAACTCACAGCTCTGGAAGCCTCAATGGGTGGTCATTAATTCGAAGCCGATGTAAGTCCGTAGCCATGGCAATGACATCAGTTGTCTAGGCAGCTACGGATAGACCCTATGCTCGCTTCATCTCAGCGATTCGCCTTCGGTATACAATGAAAAAGTGCCCATTTAACACGGTTGTCAGGGGTGGCTTCTACTGCGTGACAGCAAGACGGTCTTCTATCACTGATGTGGTGGTAGCCTTCTATTGCCACACAACGAGCATGTTCGCGGACATGATTCGGGATACGAATGTTCAGGTTTGTCACCTTCTGAGGAACATGGTAACCAGAGAAATTCCCCAAATGTGATAAGGTTTGTTCCGTTGCGTTTCAGTTCGCTGGCTTGTGAAAAGGCCTTGCTGGATCGAGGCGCGCACTCGGCGGCGTGTGAAAAACTAAGCGAATGGATTCGGACTTTCGAATCTACGTTGAAAATCTCTAGTTCAGTTTCGGAAATACGGTCAGTTCCGAACATGGACACGTTAGGTCCAGATAGAATCAAACTGATGTCTTTCAAATGGAGCACTACATCCAAAAATACCAAAATTCAATTAATTTGTATCAAGGATGATTCGCGACTTCGTGAGTGCGGTTTCTCCACCAATGATCTACAGTCGCTTGTGTCGGTGTACGGGGATACTGCGCTGGTACACTCAATCCAAGACGAAGTTCGGGTGAGTGAGAACGGTGGTCTTATTAATTCAAAGCTGTTGTATATTCTTTCTTTTGACAGTGCAGTGAAATGTTATTGGCCCATTGGACATTTACACGGTATTGTTGTTAATAACAATATATTCTTTTTATTATTTTGCTTGTATGAATTCAATCAACATCCATTGGATGATCACTGAACAGTTAAGGTTATTTGGAGTTTTTTGTGAGCGAAGCGCTGAGTCACCTGATATCATAGAACGATTGCGTGCATTCTCCACACTAGTAAAATCAGAGATCCTACACGCTGAGAATAGGATTCTTCAAGAGCACAGTATCGGTCTGTGAAACAGTCCAGTCCAGGAGGCTCACGTGTTGCTGCACAACGTTTAGTACATTTGTTCGGCACATCCCCTCCATAGCTACTCCACAATCAAAAGTTTCCCTACTGTCTACCTTTAACCTGGGTTTCATTGGGTGTCAGCTGCAAAGTAATAAGTCAGCAATTTACGTTTTCTCCCTCTGACTCGTTGCTTACGAGGATCTGTTTAGTGCTTTCCTTGGTTCAAAAAAAAGCCTACAATTAGCATATTCAGGCTTGAAATACGAGCCAATGGGCATGTTCCTAAGGCACTCCATACCATGGTAGCTGACTCTAACTCCATAGTGATCGAACGTAGGTTCAAATCGTCGATCGCCAACCACCTATTCGACACAGGGCACAGTGTGGAACTCAACTCATTGTTCCCAGTCCTAGCATGATGCAGCCAGCCATAGAGATTGAATTGTATCCAAGGCCATATGCAATGATAATTTCAAACCTGACTTCTACTGTCTGGGTCACCCTGACAGGCCACGTTTGTGACGTTGTTTTAGACTTGCAACAAGGTTGTAAACAGTACCGCACTCTGTATCTTGTACCGTTTTCCACATGATATAGCCAAAGGCAGTGCACAAAATGAATTTATCGTGTAATCTTGCTGTTCCTCCTACCTTGTTCTCAATGGTCCGGAGGTCACAGGCTTTTCTTTTCAGGGGAACCTCACCAAAGCTCATTGGACCATAATCTACCAACCAACGGTGTTCTTCTCCTGCTAATCACATTGATATGTATCATGCAAATTTGGTATCTGGTTCGGCTGTTTTGCTAGTGGATATTTTCCACCCCAACTTTGTACTAGTGGCATTCCAAGTGGTCAATATATCTCTTATCATGTAGACGCTAGAGCTGAGGTAAAATAGTGTGAGCCTGGAGAATAGAACAATAGTTCACCCGCCTTTCTCTTGAATGATCTTATTTCACTCAAATCAAACTCATGATCGCTTTATTTTTCTCGTATGTCCATTTTCCAGTTGTTGTCAGAGGAATTGGATAAAAGGATGCATCTTTGGAATGCCAGTGAACAGGCTCCGGTTAGTGATGATTCACGCCGAGATGTACCGTTGCACTTGCGAATACGAATGATGCGTCTGCGGGTTGCATTGGATCTGCGCAGCCAAGTTCTTGAAGTAAGTTGTTATCTTATCTAGTGGTAAGTAAATCAAAGACGAATTATGATATTGCGTGACTGAGCACACCAGAGTTAATACAGCAAATCAAGAGCCCCAAGTGTGCAGCCCAGTGCATTCTAAAACTCTTTCTAGAATTTGGTTGAAGGTATGACATATATGAAATCAGTTTCAGCTTGATTGTGACAGTACTTAGTCTTGCGGACGAGCCATTACCTCCAATACACCTCAGTGTTTGTAGTAGAAAAATTCCAACGGATATTCCTGCTTAACAGCCACCGCGATTCTTGAGAACATCTATGGGCTCAACGTCATGTGGATGTTTTTATGATGAAAGGTCACTGGCCGGCCCTGTTTCACCTTTGGCCCTTAGAAAGCGGCTTCGGTGTTTGTTTCCATGCCGACAGCATCTAACCTACGATGGTATATTTCCGAATGACCTGAAAACCCCACAGACAGATGTAAGCGGAACGTAATGTGCTCTATCGAAATGACGCAGCAGTCTGTTGTCCGATGCGGATCCACAGCTCACCTAGCTATTCGAAGTAGAATGGCAGAAGAAACAGTGCGTCTTAAAAAGGATCAGAAGGACTAACTCCGTTATAATTGCTTCCACACAACTGTTTGAGGGCACGCCGGTAGTGAGCCGCAACCAAGAGCTAGCTAGTTTGCATTGTACAATTTGTAAAACGGTAAGCGCGATCTAATATAGTTGTGATATCAGATTAACCTGAAATGATGAATTTTAATGAAGCTCTATGTGTGCACTTGGGGTTGCCAGTTAGGGTGATATACACTAAACCAATCGATAAATGCTGCGGACAAATTTTGACACAGCTGGTCACCGCAGGGTTTATTTTCGGTAACCTATTGCCAAGATCATTAATGTGGTGTCTGCTTAAAAGTTCTCTCAGTAGTATGAGAAGTGTCATGAAATTTCTCAGTAATTCGTTCAGTAGATTTGTTCTAAAAGCTGGCTCCGACCAAACCTGACCAGATAGCCGGTTTGGGTTGAAAGATGCGATAATTAGAAGTAGTCATTTATCTAATGTGCCGCTGAAAATATCACACTTTAGCCAAGACGCAGCGTGCAGCCCAGTTAAGTAAAACTGACTCAAGAGAAATCATGTAATGTATATGTGTATGTTGTTTTCGCCTGTGAACTTGGTTTTCTAGTTTTTATCTATACAACCTGCCTTGTAAACCACTTTTGACCAATATTCGTCGGTTCCATTTTCGAAACAGAGTGCAATGGATGTTGCAACAGCTATTCAGCAGGCTTGGCTTACACTTTCCAACTGGCTGTGTGAGCTCGAAGCTCGAATAAGACGGACGCGCTGTCATCCAAACTTGACCAAAAGTTCCATCGATCGGACAGCAAGTTGTGCTCAGTCACAACTGGATACCTACGAGTATGCGCGATTCACGCGTACTCACGTAACCGCTCCGATCCTGTCATGCTACAGCTCTGTCATGAAGCATCTTTTGACAGTGAATGAGACGGAGAAGAGTTCAGCTGATACGTGGATTATGGGAAGATGTCACAGTAGGACAAAACCGGCCATGAGACGGCAGTTCCAGTCGCTTATTTCCAAGTGGAATCAGGTACGTTTGTTTCAGTAGAGAGTAGGAAATCCGAATTATGAATCGATCTGACTTGATTGTTTTTTACGGAGTTATGGTGTGAGATATATATTTACTTTGTTTCAGTAGAGAGTAGGAAATCCGAATTATGAATCGATCTGACTTGATTGTTTTTTACGGAGTTATGGTGTGAGATATTTACCCATCATCATGGAGCGCAGAGTTTGGCTGCTTAGAAGAAATTTATTGATAGCCTACAACAGCTTTGTTCTTGCACCTAGTTTGTTCTATGAGCTTTGCGATTGGCTTGCAAACGTTTCATCACCATGCGAGCGGACATCGTCGGAAATCCGACAAAGCAGTATGTCTGACGTTAAGGTCTCGGTACTGCGGTAACAAAGTTAGCTTTTGGGTACTCACTTCTGGAAATTAAATGAGGTTATTTCCTGCGGATAGGGTCATTCGTTTGTCCGACAATAGTTCACTGTAAGTGCGTATCCTTCTTCTGCTGGTAATTTTTTCCAAGAGCGCGTTTAACACTGAAATATGCTGTAGAAGATGGATTAAAAGAGGGCTCTGATAGACGAATGTGACCATGAAAGTTCACTTTTTGTTATTGGAAGACCATTCCACACATGCTTGTGACACGCTCAGTTTTGCCTTACTGCGTTAAAACGAGCACTGTACGGCCTTCTTATTCCTATTGTGAATGATCAGCCGTGCACATCTCACGAATCTTTAGGGTGATCCATGAACACAACCTACCAGGTGGTGGTTGAAGACTAGATATTCGGTCATGTAATCTGGAAAACTTCAAAAAGCCCATTCTGCCAACAATCTTTGCGGTTACGAAGAGAGAGCGATGAGCCTGTCAACACGTGGTCACGTGATGTGTATTCTTTAACTGTGGGATGGGTGATGTTACATCCTTTCCAAGTGTGAGATAATCACACTGCTGGTCATCCGCTCGTGGTCGAATGGCTCAGATTCACAGCTCGGAAGTTGCGGGTTCGAATCTCCCTGGAGAATCGTGAGGTTGAGCTCTTAATGATTTCCAAAAAAGGAAACAGATATACAGAGCTTATCCATCCTTCGACATTGGTCGGCTTCACCGCCAACGCTGTAGGTCGATTGAAATATGGTTTTACCTCCAAAAAAATGATACCTCAGGAATAAACAGCCTTTGGTTGATATATTGGAGCTCTTTTTAAACAATATCTTCATCTAGACGTCCCTCAATATAAGATGCTTTTTTATTTAATTTGATGGTTCTTTTGGCAAGGAACGATAAAGCGCTACCATTAGCGATAGTGACAACAGGGACCAACGGTTAACCCAGAAGTAGCGTTAAAAGCAAGGACCGACAGAAAATCACTTTGTTTTTTGGGATGAGTTGCTTGATTCGGAACCAATCAGTCAATACCACGCCGATGGAGTGTCGCATTCACTGGACTGTGACATATAGGCAGTTGGTTATCACCGAAAACAATAGGGATCAGCAAAAGACAACTGAATCTGTCATATCTGTTGTGCTGATACAACGGTACTTGGTCTCACCTATCGCTGCTTTTATCTGCAACACTTTGGGATTGCTTTTATGTGTTGATTGTTGTGATACTATACCAGGGTGACTTGCGCGGAATGTTTTGATGTCTCCTGTTGCGGGAAAAACCATGGCAAATGATGTTATCCCTATGCTACACTCAACATGACTGATGATAACCTATAGTTACATGTATTTCATCAGGTTCGTCAGACGCGTTTGTTTGGTTGTGTGATATCATACAACATAACTGCAGGCACCTGAGGATATTGATGTTTGAAAGTAATCAACTCTGCCATCATCCCACACCATCACAATGGAAACTAACATTAGTTTGTTTACAAAAATCTGTTCAAACGGAAGAATGCTTTTGTGCATTCTGGGACAACCGTACACCCTCCCCCTGTTACCACTGCTTGAGTCAATTTCCGACGTGTGATTTCGGGGCAAACGCGCAAAAAAAACGAAAGCTGCCTTGATTAGCTTGTGGTACCACAGAATCATATCAACCCCAAATAGCGTTCGCCCGGGAACATACTGGCAGCCCCAAACATAGGGAACATCAAGACTTCTTTGGTCCAACAGATACGGGGGCCAGTTATCGGCATCCTTGGGCTGTGACCAACAGCATACAGCTATTTCACTTTCATCTCAGTGAGTGAAGCTGCTGTTGCTACTCCTGGAACCGTTATACGCAAGGAATGCTTTTTGTGGCAGAAAATATTACTAAAACTGATGCACCAGTGGAGTGTGCCTTCAAGTGCAACATGAAACGACTTGGTTCCCTTATTCGTTTACACTAACGGCGATGAAGTGCGCGCCAAAGGTTGTTTCAAGTAGCCTGAAAAGTCTCATTCTTGCATACGCTACTCCACGTTCAAAACTACAGTTTTTGTTGCTCAACTACGTTGGCAGTAACTGGTATCTGTGCAGGTATATTTGATTTGGACACCGGTGCCATTGGATCGACGCAAAGGCATACTCCAAAGTATGGTTTTCGTGGTCCAACTATTCACAACAGTACTCATCCAGTCCAAGGATCTGACACTTTGGGGCGCTTTAAAACATGTACAAGTGCGTCAATGTCCGACCATTTTTTATCTGGTCTGATGAATCACGTGAGTGTTTCACGGTCAAAACCCTGAAATAAATCATATTAGGTCTGCTTTTGTGCTCCAAGATAAATCATCCCAACACTCACTACATAAATTTGCTCTGGAACCTGCGGCGTTCTTCAGTCATAGAGTACAGCCTTACTGGAGGAAGATTTTGATGCACTGCTTGTGTGTAGTAATAGAAAATGTGAATTTGCAACCACAGACAAGTTCCAGAGTTTCCTATGTGCCAGTGACTGGGTAAGGATCAAGGAGAGAAAAGCAGTCTGCTGTGCTGTAGCTGACACAATGAAAAGGTGGGCTAGAGAAGTTCTATATGCTGATAAAGATTCTCTATATAGGTACCACAAAGTGCATCACACAAAGTGATTGTTGACAAAATCTCGTTCCACTCAAGGACACTGTCCAAGTTTATTTCTGTAAAAACAGCTCACTGATGGACTTTCCCTCATTTCGGTTTGTGCTTTCGCCAGCCGCAGAGAATTGAGTAAATGAGGCCCAAAGCGTCATTCCTTAAAAGTGAGGAAGAGGGCTACCAAGAAGAGAGCCATTTTTCGCTGGTCTGAAGGGTGCACGTTTTTCATGAAGTCTTATTTGCTACTGTCATTTTATGCACAAATCCATCAGAAAAAGCCGCTTCGGACAACTGCTCCTCCTAAACAGGGACCTTTAAATGACTGCATTGACAACAAAGTTTGTGTTTTGAGTGAATAACTGCAAACGGACTCCTTCCATACTCATTCGTTTCTTTCCTGTTTACCCATAATCCGGATACAAGCTACAGGCCCTAACCTCAAACAACTGCCTGCAATATATTTAAAAAAGAATACGAATTCGTAAAGTTCCCACAATTCTTTAGCTCTTAGCTCAAGGAAGGGAATAGGTTTCTAACAGTAGGTTACACATGTCCTCCGAAAGCACGTCGTGAGGTTCGCGGTATCTTAATAAAAAGGGATGTTGTGACGGGAGTAAATAAGTGGTGAGCGCAGGAAACCACCTTATGCCACTATCCAATCAGGAGATTTAAGAACAATCGCCCAGAAACCCATAGAGAGCACTTGACACACTCTGAAGGGTTGTCTTGATTGATGCTTTTTTATGCCTGTCAGAGTATAGACATACCCATCGGATTTAGTGCCTTCACGTTTCTGATGGTATTTCAGAATTTTCCAGTCTACTTGAGAATGGAACTGAAAACTACCAAATCTAATTGCTTGATGTTAAGTAGTTCCTGGTGATGCAGATGCTATGAACCGGTCATTGTTTTCTATATCATGGTACTCCAGGACAAAAGATTTAGACCAGTGCATAGGTATGCAGCGAAGTCTCGTTCATTACGCTTGGCTGAACAGTAAGTTAGAAAACGACTATAATGGTTACAATCCGCATGTTATAGACTCAGTCAACTTTATCTTTTGGGCTGTTGTACTTTTTATTCCCTTGCGTCCAGCAGATTCTCATCAAATTGCTTGTTGTAGCCAATTGTGGCACAATTCCAATGATGACTACGAGTGATTTGTGCCTTTAATCTGGGCTCTTTTGAACGCAATACATTTCTCTAGTTGGCCCAAGTGATTAGAGCGCGAATTTACTGACCGGAAGATTCGTGGTTCGAATCCGACCTCCGCCACTCGACTTCCCCTGTCTAGGCTTGGGCAACCTGGCAGTATCCCAGCCCTCGTACTTCCTTCGGGTGGCATGGCAGCTAGGCACCGGAAGGGTGCTACAGCTGAAAGCTCTAGTTTGTTCCGTCTCACAGTATTCTTCCCTGAGAGAGTTCCCTTTCTTGTTCTGGTAGTAAGCACTAGTACGTGGAGAGTGTGCGTCTGGCCTAATTTGAACGGAGTCGAATGATTTGTTGTCTGCCATTTTTCAAGATGCTTTTCATGTTCCGAAAACCCTTTCTTCACTTTTAGTTTTCATTACTTTTGTAAGCTGATGTGAGCTAGGAGGCACCTGTTGGTACACACTCGACCTTTCAACTGTTTTCTACCGACCAACGAGATACAATTACGGAACGAATTAGCCGAGATCACCTTGTGGGACTAACAGTCTTGTGGTACTNGAATCCGACCTCCGCCACTCGACTTCCCCTGTCTAGGCTTGGGCAACCTGGCAGTATCCCAGCCCTCGTACTTCCTTCGGGTGGCATGGCAGGCTAGGCACCGAAGGGTGCTACAGCTGAAAGCTCTAGTTTGTTCCGTCTCACAGTATTCTTCCCTGAGAGAGTTCCCTTTCTTGTTCTGGTAGTAAGCACTAGTACGTGGAGAGTGTGCGTCTGGCCTAATTTGAACGGAGTCGAATGATTTGTTGTCTGCCATTTTTCAAGATGCTTTTCATGTTCCGCTAACCCTTTCTTCACTTTTCATTTCATTACTTTTGTAAGCTGATGTGAGCTAGGATGCACCTATTGGTACACACTCGACTTTTCAACTGTTTGCTACCGACCAACGAGATACAATTACGGAACGAATTAGCCGAGATCACCTTGTGGGACTAACAGTCTTGTGGTACTCATGAAAATTCTAGTACACTCATAAGGCATACACAACATTTTGCCAGCCGTTTGGACGATCGTTTCCGGAGTCAGGATCTCAGGCTGTACGCACATTCCTTTGATATCTCATTACCTACTTCACCTGGCTTGTCACGAGTTAGGCGGCACCTGCCAACAACAATGCTACCACACCCCTCAAGGTTGCTTGTGTTTGTCTGGTTCGTAGATGTGTCGGTGGCCATGGTGTCGTTTTACTGGGGCTTATGAATGTTATTGTCGTCCAGGTGACCAGATAACCACGCAAAACAAGTCTGTCTGTAAACAAGCCTAGTAGTTAGTTTGCTAAAACTGGAGTGTTCATCGAGTCTGTAAGATTTCAGTAATATTTATTCAGCCCGGAGAAGACAACAATTATGCCCACTGTCTCAAAGTACCAGCTCAGTTTCCGAATGCTCACTATGGCGCAACATACGGGCAAACAGCTAGTGTAAATTTTCCTGGCCCGTCACTGTTAGCCGATTTCTAACAAAACAGTCTCACCCAGGATGTTGGATCTGCCAGTCAACAATGGATATCCACTGGCTGCCTATGAGTATCAGGTGGACTATAAGTGGTTTTCGCGTGCTCTGTGCAAGCCGTTGATACCAGGACACCCTCGAAGAAGTAAAATTGGCGGACATATACAGGGGGCCTTCTAATGGAGGTCGGTTTACGTTATCATCCATGCACATTATTGTTTTATCCACAGTGAGGCCTCCAACTAAATAACGGTTGTACGACAGCTGTGTTTTATCCCTGGATATTGGCATTCTCCTGTGGATAATGATGAGGGATAACATTGTATGCACGATGTTATGAAAACCCACACCAAAGTTCTGGCTCCGCAGACCAGTTTCTTGAGGTTCCAGCAAGTTCTCTCACTTCACACAGGTAAATCATCAAAATATTCTCTATGGGGTTCCCCACTGCCGCAAAATACAAATTGGAATGGATGGTCAAACTGTAATACACTAGTCGAATGGCTACTATTTCTGTTATCTCTTAGTACGGTGGTACTGCAGGCAAAACTTCCACTAGAAGTTAGAGCAGACCTGTTTTTGATTGAAAACTGATGAAACTACCTGGGCAGTTCACTAGCGCTTTCTGGGATAGCTTGTAGTAGGTAGGCTGGTGACAAACGAGTCCGATTCTATTCAGGCATGTGCGTCCACGAGTTGTGCAGATTCATGTGGCCGTCATTGTACTACGTGTTGTACGTCTGTTTCGTGATTTTGCATCTTATCACTGAAGTGTGATGTATAACCAAACTCCATGCAATTTCATTTGACAGTTCTTCAGGCGGTCCTGTCAAGTGTCAACTATTCCCAGTATTTGAACTAAAGACAACGATTTTTTAAACTTGTCCGAAGGCAATCACAACGGCCGAAATTCAACACCTATGAGCTTTTTTAGGGGCTTGACTGCAAAAGAAATTGCTTTGGGATACGGTTATCAGTCATTCGTTTCACGTAGTTTAAGCAGAGTAGTAGTTTCGATCTGTTTTGACAAATGCCATATATTTGGGGGCAATCAGTTCATTTAGGTTATTGGCGTTTAATGCGAATTTTCGTACTGGTATCACATACGCATTTCTATGTGGCGCTGCTCAATAAAGTATACTGAAGATTGAGTTATCCCAAGGTAGGTCATGCTTTCGTGACACGGCGCAAAGAAAACAGGGTTCTTCAAAAACGCCATCCGTCATTCAGCATGACACTTTTGCATTTGGCTTATACTTGGAAAGCTTTTTGAAACCTAGTGGCAAAATCTCTTCAATCAGCGAAATTTAGTTGACCACGGTTTCAGACCCCCCAAATACGCACCATATCTCACTCTCTCGTTGGCTTTGTGTTGGCTGACACATTTGTCGATTTAAGTAAGGTTTAGATTGGGAGTTCTGAGACGAACACTGAAGTAACGCCGGGTAATGCGGTTTGACTAGTGGCGAGGTAATTAGTGCGGCTGAGCTTTCAAAGTTGTGAACTGAGCGCACAAGATCATTAGAAGTAACTTTCCTAATGGCGTAGGTACAATATGAGCTGAAGATTTCGACTCAGACTTGATTATGTGACCTTTTGTGTACAGTCCATTCTCCAATCCCGTCTCACCTCGACTCTGGAAGTCTTCTTAAAATTAGAGGAAATCTACCGTTACGGTAATCAGCTTCCATTGTTAGATGTTTGACTAAAACGGCCTACACCTAGGACCATCATTCAATCTGCCCACCGCGTTCTTTCTTCGCTTTTACTGCCCTCATTCCCAAGCACTGAGGAGGAAATCACCATAACCATCAGGGATGTCAGCAATTTATTCACTCTGGTTACTTCTTACGTTCGTCCTTTTTCACTTACACACCAAGACATTGTGTTCACCCTCGGGTTCAATTGATAAAAATTCATTTCATACACGCGCACAGCTACTTGGTCTCTTTGTTATCTATTGTCCTAATTCGTGGAAAGTGTTACTTGTAAAACGTGCTAGCTGTGACTAGGATTCGATGAATTATTAGCCTCTGCATGAAGCTGGAAGGACAAATGTTGCTAGAAAGGACACAAAAAGGAATATTTCGAACTGAAGGGCCAGGAATTACTAGCGAGGCAAACGACATACTCTGGGACGACAGTTTCACTCGTATAGTGGTAGTAGAAAATGGGTGGTGCGAGGTACTCTGCGCGTCCGCTGTTTATATATTTGTTTGAAAGGAGTTGCATACCTATTCCCAAGCACGAGGAGGAAATCACCATAACCATCAGGGATGTCAGCAATTTATTCACTCTGGTTACTTCTTACGTTCGTCCTTTTTCACTTACACACCAAGACATTGTGTTCACCCTCGGGTTCAATTGATAAAAATTCATTTCATACACGCGCACAGCTACTTGGTCTCTTTGTTATCTATTGTCCTAATTCGTGGAAAGTGTTACTTGTAAAACGTGCTAGCTGTGACTAGGATTCGATGAATTATTAGCCTCTGCATGAAGCTGGAAGGACAAATGTTGCTAGAAAGGACACAAAAAGGAATATTTCGAACTGAAGGGCCAGGAATTACTAGCGAGGCAAACGACATACTCTGGGACGACAGTTTCACTCGTATAGTGGTAGTAGAAAATGGGTGGTGCGAGGTACTCTGCGCGTCCGCTGTTTATATATTTGTTTGAAAGGAGTTGCATACCTATGGTTTAGTTTGAGCAACGCCGAGCCTGATACACGGACGTGAAAATTACTTGTCTATCACAATGAATCAGCATAACGGTTCAGATTTACTCGTCAGCTGAGCAAAACGACTTGTGGAACCTTTTTACAGGACCGAAAAATGAAATATTTATGGTAAAACGCGATTCGTATAGCTGTAAAACTTCTTACCACGCTTGAAAGTTCTACGCACCACAGCTTGAGAAACTGCGATAATCCATCCGGGTGGCTTGTCTATCTCCATTGGATTTATGTTCATCGTTATAGTGGATTCATCAAGGGACGGAGTTTGGCCTACTATCGGAAAAAAATTACTTCTTTTTTGTCATCCGTTGCACGCACAGGTTGGTTCCTTAAAATTCTCTTTGTTATCCGGCTAATTCCATATTTGATTGGCTTGGAGCACTAAAATGTCACCACATGTAATGGCGTTTCCACTCCTTTTTAAAATATTGATCGTGTTTACTACGTCCAATGTCATTTGGGGGATGTTAAGTTCATTTTTCCGGCTTGGAATGAGCAGCATTACTGAGGCAGCAGAATGATAATATCAAGACAACGGGTTTGTCCCTGTTACAATCATATCGTTCATGTGGTCTACCTTGTACTCATCGAACCCCACACAGAGAAAACTACATTCAGCTACCCAGCTATTCAGTCATGTTGTGGATTGCTTATTCAGAGAATGCGGCTAAATTTTTACCATTGTTTCTGCTAAGTTAGTTCCGCCTTTCGAAAAGTTGTGGCCGTCCCCATGCAGTATTTTCACGAACCTACTGCAAGGTATGACCACAAGTATAGGATACTATCTCTTATAATAAGGTGACCGTATTTTGGGAACTTCCCCTGACGCCAAAAAAAACAAGTGAATGAGTGTGTGACCATGATGGCGTGTGCAATAGTTCGGAGTATAAGAAATCCCTGGTGATCATTTCACCAGATCTTCCATCTAAATCTGCCACTCCCACATATCCTTCACAGATGGACCAACTCCTAAAAGTGCTTCAAATGTCACTCAGACAAAGGGATTGCGTTCCTCAATGCGTGTGGGATTTCGAAACACTAGAATGCACAATTGAGAAAATGATGAAAGACACTAGACGAGAACTTGGTCGAGATCGACTACTCATCAAGAAGCTAACTGAGGCTCTTCTTCAACCAGATGATGGCAAACTTTCAAGCAACGACACCGAGGATGGCCCGGAACCAAACAAATTATGCCAACTGCTGTGTGATCCATTGGTCAAATGGGATACAGAAAATCCCTTAACTATCGAGTGTTATTTGAATCAATGTGAAGCTCAGCTTATCAATGCAACCGTGAGTCAGACGGTATTCAATTTCTGAGAATCAAAACATATCAAGCGAATAGTTTTTAGGATTTATTCTTGCATCGTAGGGACGCTCAGTAGCCACTAAAAATAGATGGGTGTTACAAGAGCAGAACACTGACTTTTTGTTTGTCTCACTTTACAGGCTATGAAGAACCAGGTAAATTCACTGAATTCCCACTTGATGGTAACACTGTCAGGCTACAAAAAGATGTTCATAACGGTGGAATCTTGCGAAACGAGTGACAACACTTCCAGCCTGTACGACCACAGTGCGAATACAGTTGTGGACTCACAGGCCACTGTGGATGAATCTGATACCATCTCAAACGGTTGGTCACAGGAATCTATTAGACGTGATTCCGCTTTGGTTCTGTCCAGTCCACGCGATTCGTTTACCGAACTCAACCTGGATTCACACACGGATGGTGATAATGCAGACCAGCTTGAAGCAATGCTGGTGTTGAGACGCGGTCGGTGTAGGAAGTTGGAGGAAGACTTTTCACAGCTGAAGCAACTTACTCTTTGTCGGACGGAGAATAGCCGAGTACTTCGAGAAGCACTTTGTGAGGTGAGTCCCTAAAATACTTGGATTACAACCATGTGTTAGCAATGTGTTGAACTAGCAGAACGTTATAGCCCAATATCATTTCGGTGAATCAAGCATTTCCTATTTCACTTTTGAACAGCGAATCAAACTTGACCAGTTCGACTTTGAGACGTGGCGGCAGAACTTCTTAAAGTGGCAAACCAAAAGGCATTTCCGCGTGTCCGATCTTTTTAAAGCTGTTCTCCCCGTCGACACTTCCTCAGCACAACGGTCACCTGGTACCACTTTCTCAACTGATGGATCTCCTTACTCAGAAGTTGAAGAACGGTGTACAAATGATTGCTCGACGAGCTCTGATATTGCCATCGCCTCTCCCACTCCGAATGATAAGATCTCGATATCGCCGAATAAGTCAGTGGCCTTTGGCAGCGGGAAACAGCGACTCAAGTCTGCCACCTCCCTAGAGCACCTTGGAGTTGTAGATAAACAAGAACTTTCATTGAACATTGAACTCACCTGTTCCCAGTTTGTCCAAGGAGTTCACCGGCATCGTCCCGAATTCAAAGGCTCAGATTGCGTAAGTTTGCGAGCCGCTTTTGCAGAGATTGATAAAAACCGAAGAGGACTCATTACAATAAAGCAGTTGATGGACGCGCTGCAACCAGAAAGACAAGTAAGTGGTTATTACCTTACACCTGTTCCTCTGATTCATGTCTCATTTGTCTCTTAATCAGCAGTGCGTTTAATCCTGCTTTAATTTACCTCGAATCCTTAGTCTTTGTGATGGCATGAGCTCAGGATGACCAATCAGACATCTTATCCTTACAAAGTGTTTCTGGGACACATCATGACCTAGGGGGGGATCGACTCCTCAAGGAACTATTTTGTCCCACAGAGTGGTTGTGTCAAACATGTGGTATCGTAACGTGAAACCTGGTTACTGTTTGAACGGATACAGGGCCTGTTTATTGGTAGGCAACCAGCAGACGTGATCCGTGCGACTCTTAGTAAAGCTTATTTGTGACACTGTTGTATACAGAACCTATTTATTACCAAAACTTCTGTCTTGTGTACGAATCCATGACTACCACTTTAACTTCAATTTTATGCGATGCAGTTTGAAGTCAGGTTGGTACATGTTCCAGTAGTCGCAACCTACTACACAGTGCTTCTTCATTAAGTCTTATAGTTTGCTATGAATAACAGGTGCCATATGTATGTTTATCATCGTTCTGGCCTGTGAGACTTGGAACATCATACTGACCCAAAGAAGGCGGTGCGGATTTAGTCTTTTCATTCTGCTGTATAAGTTATGACTTTAGTGTCTTGTCCACTCTTCCATAGTTGTCTACAGTTCAGATGAAAACCCACCGAAAGAACATGCTCCCGGGTGACTTCATTTATTGGTTTTGTGAGCCACATGATAACTGTGTCGGCCTCATAGTCTCCAGTTACTCAGTTGTGGTATATCGTGACGTAACGCTATCAAAGAGCTGATATCCCTCCGAGTTGCTCGGGCCTACGGAGAAGCGACTGAAATGCCGTAGTGTGACTCGAACAATGGGTCTCGCGTTTACTACTGATCAATCCTGCGTTTGTTCAGTTTTGGATAAGGTCAGCTTGTAGCCAGTCTGCCTCTTGGCTGAAGGTAATGGAGCTGATGTTTGAAACACACACACACAAAACCCTACGTGTAAAGAGATCTTTGATTGTTGGTCGGATCGTTCACTAAGCTTGCTAATTAAACTATGTCCCCCACTAAGAAGTGCTGTCAGTCGATCAGTCATTATTCTGGAGGGTTTACTTCCTATTGATTACCACGTTATCGCTGGCCCCAGCCATCACATAGGGGTCGCCTACCGTGGGAGTGTATTTTCCAAAAGAGACTATTCCCCAGTGGTTCTGCTGGCCACAAGAAATATGGTCCGTAGGCCTGATAACACTGTATATCAGGCCAATCTGTCACTTTGTTAATATCTGATTTAAACCCCTACCAGTGGACGTTCTGAATAAGCCATGACAGTTCGTCACGACCGGACAAATATCCGATTCGTCCACTTTATTGTTATCCAAAATGGGCAAACTCATTTGCCTACATGTCCGAGGCGAGTTATCAAATCATCGGTTGCTTTTTCCACAGCGCCAAGAGATCCCAGTTAGTCAACTGATACAGAATGCCATCGATGCGGAGACAAAGAAGTGTCGTTGCAAAACAAAATTCGTCCCAGTCAAAGTAGATGAGAACAGATATCGGGTAAGTTTCGCTTGTGCTCCTGATCGAAGCTCACCAAGAACTTAGGTGTACGTTTGAACTTCCGATCACTGTGTTGTGAACATAGGAAAATTTGTGTAATTCTCGAGCCACGTATGTGTTTTATTCACAGTGTATAGAGGTGGTGGACCAAACCAGACTTCCCAGTAGTATTCAGCAGTATTCATGGAGTTCTTCACTATGTCTTTGTAGACTGATTACTAGGATGTTTACGTCGGTAGCTAGCTCGAGCTAAGCAAACCAAGTCCCTATCTTTATCACATGAACAAATAGTTGGAGCACAACTTCCGCCATAACCATTGCATATAAGATCATCGAGTAACGCCGTGGTATACAGAGATTCCGGGCGCATACTGTGTGTGTGGGTTAATGATGACAACAAATAACCCACAGTTAAGGTAACCGATCCATATGCTGAATTGTACGTTAGGTCAGCCGCAGACACACCCCTTTCCAATGCCTCTCCTCTCGCACCTTTTTTCTAGTTCGGTCCAAGCAGTCAGCTGTACTTGGTTCGATTTCTGAACAGTATTACGATGGTTCGTGTCGGTGGTGGTTGGCAAAACCTCACCGAGTTCCTAGCCACAAGAGATCCGTGTAGAGGTAAGTCAAACGTCCTGACTCCTTTTGCGTTCCTCTTAGTATTCGCTTGAATTTGTTGATAAGCAACAACCAGTGATCTTGAGACCTGGTCCGTCTGGACAACTTAGTTTTAGAAGGGTAAGTCTGGAAACGGTAATACGGTTTTTCCTGAGACGCTTTCACTGAGGAGGCATCATAGACCACATGTCCTGCGGTTTATCAGCAGTATTTTGGATGAATGTGGATAAAAATATCTGTTGCTAAATCTCTTATCCGCGAGGTGATGTGCTCATATAGGGGTAGACGCACTGCTGACGGCTCTGAATAAAAATTAAAACGTCACCCAACCAGTGTCTTTATTTTCAGTATTGGTTGATCCTACTTTTTACACAGAGGATATCTCATTGGTCACAGAAAACACCTGACGAGTTTTTTATTGACTTCATCGAGCTATGGATGGAATAAAGAATGGCCCCCATGTTGATCATTTTATGTGGGTCCAGCAGCACTGGAGACCTCCACCGCGAAGGCAACATCCTCAAGAAAACTTCTTTCACCGATCCTCCCTTTTAGTGACTCGTCCAGTAGTTTCCCTCTTGAGTGAGCCAATAACGCTTTGTTCACCGATCGACCATCTTTGCCGTTAAGCTGAAATCGTCTTTTTATTTGTCATGCACATGAACTCTGCGTGTAAACATACCAATTCTTTCCTTTGTCCAGTCCGTTTTAAAAGCGAATGCATGTATACAGGGCCCCTTCTATGACGCTAATAGCCCAGGTGAAGGTTTCAACCACCTCCTTCCTTGGGTGCAGGCAAGATGCATGTGTTTCGCGCTTTAGAGTGAGATGAGGATGATTGGGGAATGGCAGCCGATAAACCTCTGGAGCGCAAGGTCTTTGCTCTCAAGAGATTCTGGTGGCTGTTGTATTTCTCTGTCCTATTGCGGCTTTTTGTCATATCTAAAGGCAGTAAGTCATCCGTGCCAGACTCTCAAAGCACCAATATTGTCTCCATTACTTATGATTACCGCACAACACTGGTGTTTGATTTGGATGAGTTATGGTCAACTGGACGCCTTGTAATACTCCATCAGATAATGCTGGCGCCAACAAGAAGCTGATAGATACAATTAACATAGGACTGGTACAAATACCCACTGATGACTATAAAAACATATTCAGTGACATCTCTCTCGCAACCTAACTATGGGGCTCAAACGTGACGTCGTCACTGGGTTGCTCTTCATAACCTTTCGTAGTATCTTGGTTAGAATGCGTCTTTTAACCTGTGCTAGATGCCTGTTTATATTCTGGCCGATTGAAATCAGTATGAGCCACAAGGTTGACTTAATAGAATGATCGGCAAAAATCAGCGTGGTGGTGTAGGGATGTGTGATACTGTGGATATTCATGCTCCTTGTCACATCACTGGTCTGTTCGTCTTTGCGGGCCGACCGAATCATATCAGATACGATATGGCGTCAAGCTCCGTGCACATCTGCAACGGCCTGTTTATCACTGCCCATTAGGTCCTTTCTGACCAGATATTTATTGGAGTAACTAACTACGTTTGGGCAGGATAGCGTCGATCAATAAGGCAAATTCTGGAAATCGTAGTGTGCTGAATTAGTTTGCAGGATAGCACTCTGCAAGGAAGCACCAGCGCATGAAGCTCGTCATTCGGGATTGGTCTGACCAGTGTGGAAACGAGGTAGTTTCACTGTTTCTCCATTTTCTACCCTCAGCCGAATGCCCAGAAGCTCAGATCGATCGGTTGGCTTATAAACTATCTTAACGTGATTCTGCATTGGATGATCTCATCAATTTAGCCGGTCACTTGAATATACAACTCTTGTTGCATCTCAAGGTGAAACTATTTAATCACTCGGTAACTTATTTCCTGAATAGCTTGTTTTTATGCCTTCTTATTCTTGTAAATGGTGCGAGATTGTGCCATTGTCTAGTTACTCTGCTAGCGAGTTTGGACAAGGGATCAGGCCGGTGTTTCTGTCGATAACCAACTATACTGAAAACCAATTTGCTGGTTTAACAGATTACCGTACACAGAGCAAATTAAAACCAAAAATAGTGACAAATTCGTTGGTATATTTCCGGCCGTTTTATGTTCGGCATTACACTTTCTGTTCATCGTACTTACTCCCCGCCCACTGTCGGCACAGCTCGCAATAAACTGCCTCCGCCAGACAGCCGCTCAGTGTCCAGCATGGGTACTCATCAGGTTTCGCCAGCACAATCGATTACTTTATCCCGATCGAGTCCGGATTCCAACTTGGGAAGCATGCGTGTCACAACACTGTCCCGTACGTCTGCTGAGTCGAATGGCTCGTCAAACACAACACCTCCAAAGCTGACTCCTCGAATTACACCAAAACAAGCGCCAAAAGCCATACCAACAACGTCTAAACGAATACAAGGTAGAAATACCAAATCGGCTGAGAGGTCGAACATCAGTGAGTAATGTTGTCTAGCACTTCAGATTGACATCTTGCGTAACAGAGCTACTAGTAAGCCGTAAGCACACTCGCCGTTTGTGCTGTCTCTAGTAACCTTTTGCATTCCTCTCTTCGTTCCACCCCTTTTCGTTTCCGATTACCTGTCAACTTCAACTTCGGGAATCTAAAGTTTTCATTTTTTTTCCGTGGCTCCACCCCTGTCACAACCTTTTTCACCAGTTACTGGGTCTGTTGGTTTTGAAAACGATAGTGCCACGTTCAGTTGTCTATAGCTTTGTGGATGGTAATCCAGGCTGCATGTGTATCGTGTGCGCCGGTCATGATTATGTCCACTTTCACACAAGACACTGGGACCTTAGTCACGATCGGAACAAGTTCTGCCGCTTGAACAGCTTCCACAGACCAAGCATCCAGTGCATGCTTACACCGCCCGGGATGAAATATTACTGAATACAGAGATTCCAAATCAGACATCTTATTTAACCGTGTTCGCCGGTCGGAAAGTGGCTTTCGGGTGCGAAAAAGCAGAATTTCAATGCACTTTCTCTGAGAGGTTCAATGCATAAGCAGAAACATGGCAGATAGAGTGCCAGCACCAGGAAAACTCCTGCTGCAATTCTGAAGCAGGAAACCATGGATATCGTTAAATGGGCAACTTAAGCAACGTGGATGAGGAAAATAGCAGTCGATGTCCGTCGATTACACGATCAACAGTTTCGGGTCAGAGAGCGTTCTCGAGGCGTGCGAGGTGTTTATACTGCTATCTTCTGGCTGACTGATAACCGGTTAGAGCTCAAACGAGGTTCGCCGGATTCGCCTACCTACTTTATTTAGGATGGGTTTCTCCTATAGAAAATGAGTCTGTGCAAATTACATCTCAGATCGCTGTAACCGTGCAGCGAGATCGGCAACATCCGAGCATAACGTTACCGGGTTTCTGTTCCACCGTTTGAACTGATGGCCCGTCTGCAGACCAAGTGGTTCACCCTCAGCGTCAACTGTAGACAAATGGGTTTTCAAGCACATTCCGGTACGACAGCGCAGTTCTTCGAAGGTAGCAGGCAGTTGGGCTAGAAGCGACTCTCTGTGACTGCTGTTGTGGCCAACTGTCAGTTAAGCCAGTTAATGGTTTTGGAACTCACCTGTACAGTTCGTGCTACGATAGTATATCCGGGTTACGGCGAGTTACAGGCGGGTTCACTTGCTGCTCAGAAGGGACTACTCTCCGTTGTTGCATCTAGTGCTGTGGTGTTCTATCCGAGAGGTGAAACTACAAACGAATATCAGCCCACCGTATACTTTATTCCAATGGCGATATTGTGATTTACAAACACCAATGAGCAGGCGTTTGAGATCCACAAGTTACTAGGAGTGTGCGATTTTACTGGGCAGCTTTATCGAACCTAGCGACCTGGACAAATAGACCTTTGGGTTGTTCCTTAAGTTAAACGAGTGACTTCATCAGAGTAGTAGATGTCATCTTGGTTTCAACCCATTCTCACTATCTCGAGTGCGCCTCTCTAGATGTGCTTATCCTGCTTATCCTGGTGCCAGAGATCCCTACAAGCTTTTGGCAACTGTACAACTAAAGTCTGCCAAAGCTTAGCGCGGATGAGGTACCTACCTCAGTTATCAGTTTTGAAAGGGTTATTTCACCACGTATGTGGTTCTGACAAAGGACCATGGTAATTCTAAGAAGTGACATTAAAGCCAAAAGTGTCTGGGTATCTCATCGGAGAGCGAGAATCGCTGAATCAATTTCCACGCATGCACTACAGCGTCACGTGTCAACCGGAAGGTAGCAATGAATGGATTAGTCCTTATCTCAGGTTTCAGGCTCTCGGATTAGTTGTGTTGGACATATGAGCAAGTGTCATGTGATTACAGCCTGTACGTCTGAGGTTATTGTTTTTGTCCATTACTAAACCAGCCTCTATTACACACGGTGACAATACGAAAGAAGCCGAATAGGTCGGCCTGATAAAAGTATCACTGATTGTATTTGGTTTCGATAGAAGTTCACATGCATCCATAAGAGTATGCCGTTTATTGTGGTGTGTTCAAGTAAAACATAAGGTTGATGGAAACTCGGGACTGCGCCCACCTGATGAAAGGGAAAACCGGTCGTGGGTTATCGAATAGTTTTCAGTCTGTACACTGTACTGCGATACTGGCTTATCGTATCAACTGGACCATGTGGTGGCCTGGTGCTGCGCATTCAGTGGGAGCGACCATCATAAACGAGAGACTCAGTCTCCTGTCCAAACCAAATTCTTGTGTAAATGAGAGTATTTGTCGAAATCTGTTCGATTCGGGTTCAAGTAGACCCCAAGGTTGGCGAAAAATCGGGGACTGCAACTATCTAATGAGCCACAAAAATGAATGAAATCGCTCATGGGCTTCCGTACAGATTCCAGCAACATTATGAGTAGAACGCTGCGTCTAGTCATCAGTTTTCTATTGTTCTGGTTTGACATGTTTGATCATAATTCTCACTCATTATGGAAACATTCAAAGTATGGCTTAGTTATTTAGTAAGGTGCGAAACGAGTCCATTTAAATTTTCCCATAAAATGACAGGAAAACTGCACATAGTGTGAAGATGTGTGATTCACGTCATATAAATGTAATGTCGTTAATCGTCGGAAGATAGTTCTCGTTCGTTACATTCGACAGATAATCGGTGGGTCGTCTTTAATTTTCAAGTGATATATTCTTTCATCAGGGAGATCTGTTCCTCGGCATTTAAGGCGGTCTTCGTTCATCTTTCCTGTTCTGAACCAGGCGCCACACGCTTTAACCTGTGCGCACAAAAACTTTCGCGTGTTCTGTCGTGGATTCACAGCATGCATAACCCTGAGCCCTCCATTGGGTGGATGGTAGACAGATGTCTAAGGAATAATATGAACTGCCTTAGGATGATGCATTGGTTTTTTTCTGATGGTGTGCCGTTCAGATCACTTATTCCCTGCCGTCCAGAGGATTCCATGAGACGGATGTGTGGAACAAAACTTTCAAGTACTCATACATTGATATTATTCTTGGTTGAGTGCTTCTCTCATACACTCATGGGCCTTTAGTCTGATTATCAGAGGATTTCGTTTCTGGAGTATTCGTGATGAGAACAAATTGTCACAAAAGCCTGTTGACTCCCCAATGTTTCCCAGGAGGGAGTTTCTTCAAAAGAGGAATCGCCGGAAGCCTTCCTTTCAACTGCTCTTTAGACATTGGTTCTCGTAATAATAAAAGTCTGCACGGCATTGTAGGTTGTTCCAACCGCAAATTAAATGAAACAGACACTGTTTCTGAGCATCATTTTCTCTGTAGACAAACATTCGTTTTATTTCTTCCAATAGATTTAAAAACTTTCCCTTATAATCGTTTATCGCAATCTAAAGATGAACAAAATGATCCTCTGTTTACAAAGACGGATCTCACAATCCATCATGGCCTTCCGTTCGTTCGGACATTGGGCGGGTGCGTATACAAACGTGTCCTCCACTAAGTCACGCCAATAACCTAACACTAGTCCGATTCCAAAGTGGCGTTGCGCATTAACCAGTTCACGAAATCTGACAGACCGCGTGACCCTAGTGCCTCTTCGATCATGCCTCAAGACCTTGTTGTCTGGCAGGTCCATCGATGAAACATAGAATCTAAATATCGTTCAAACAGCCTGTCCTGGTGATGGTATTCGTTGATGGAAAAGCCCTGAGAAAAGCAGTATAGTCGGTAATGTAAGTATTTCACTTCCTTTTGACCGAAGCAGTGTGACTTAGTAGTAATAGATAGTGATAATTGCTCAGCTCCGACACATATTTGATCCGTAGCCGCCGTGCCACTCGAATGAAGCAATAGGGCTCAGATAGTGCCAAGTTTTCAAGCCTAGACAAGAACAGCTGGGATGCGGGGGTCAGTTTCAAACCATGATCTTCCGTTCAGTTAATTAGCACTCTCACCACTGAGCTATCTCGAGCTCATTCATGCCGCATACTACTAAATATCACCGTTTGAAAACCCTAGTCCGTCTCGAAAAATACGTGTTACAAGCAAAATACCTAACTGTATGAAAAACTAATCCACTGCTTATGTATGTTCGGAGGCTGGCAAGTTGTCTCACTGTGGGCGTCTGTATAAAGTGACTGAACTATTGTAATCATAGAAAAAAGTGCTGTTTTGTCATGCCTGAGCAACAAACCTATCCGGCTAGTGATTCACACTGTTGTTTATGTAGGTCTCACCCCGCATGCTGATTTTCCATTCCTGATTTGTTTGCAGAAGACGGTTTGGAAAACGGCAAATCTCACTAAAATTCAAGTTCATCCAGCGCGCATCAACAGTTCACTTTATCATTGGTTTCCTTCCGCGGATTATTCAATCTGATGGACAGCCAACATGTCGCCCGTTGATAAACAGGGGGCTTATCATTGTATTTTATATTCACCAAATCGCTTTTTGTAACACTGCCCTTCTTTCAGTATATACCATGTTTTCCATGCATTGTTGCGTTCCCATACTCATCACGTTCGTCTGACCATACTAGAAAGTCGCCGAATAAAAAAAGGCTTTTTGATTCTGCTTGTATGTCAAGTGGGATTGATGGACTAATAGTGGTCTGTATGGAACAGCGGTTCGAATCCTCTCAGCCTACATCCAGGTTTTCGACTTTTGTTTGTGGGCGTGCGTACGTAGAAACCACTTTATTTATTATTGATTTAAAGGCTCGCGTATTTATCAAAACTTCTGGAGTCCAGCCCTGAGGATGGGAATTCAGGATGGTAGAATACAGAAATGATCGTCAAGGTGATACAGCAGAAGTAGACACCAGCGCATAATGTGATTCAAATATTATGCCAGAGGAACTAAAAATAAGCATTTGAGCCTGCCTACCAAAGACCTTTCCCCAACACCGGAGTTTATGAGGTCTTCTTTGGTAGGAATTTCATCCCTCAAGAAGCGTTGGTTAATGTAATTTACGAAGCGTCGCTTTTTTTGTAAATTTGAAGCTTTTAATGTTTCGGATTCGGCATATCTTTTAGTTTCCCTGCCATTTTGGAGAATGTCTATAATGCAACCGGTGGGAACCACGAGAGCTGTTCGGCTGTCAAGCAGCAAGTCCAACTGGAGCCAACCGTTCACACTGTCACTGAATGGGTTCATTTCGTGTGCACTAGGGCCCATACACCGATGATGTTATCTCGATTGATTAGCATCGTCAACAGGAGGTTATCTGTAACTGTGAGGTTCATGCTTGTGTGTGCGTTCGGATAATGTGAAGGGTCCACAGGCCTAGACGCTGGACTGAGATAAGTGGCAATATGTATAGGTCGATGGGTTTCGATAACGTACAATAATGAAAGGTCATTCTCAAGACCCTCTATTATCTTTTTCACTGAGAAGTAGCTGTCCTACTGTCCCATATCCGGGAGGCTGAAAGCTACTTAAAGTCAGCGTTTAGTTTGTAAGCTGCAACTTCGAATGTGATATATAGTTTTAGCAGCTAGGTACCTAATCAGTTGAGCCACTGTGTTCATTGAATGCAAGTAGTATCCTTCGGTATCGGAAATTTCATGGTTCGATGAAAGCAACAGAAAAGCCTGTTCTACAAGCTTTATTCGGAAGAACAAAAATCATTCGTTCAACTACTGAGCATAGTAATGCTCATGAGCGTCATTAAATGTGTATTTTCTTTATCACTAATGTTGCAAAGGGCAAAATTAACACTCGCATCCTATCCTTGGCTACATCACTAGTTTGATAACATGCCTGCACCAAACAAAAGATTTCTCCGTAGTGACAGAATCGATGCAGGTTCAAGTGTTGATTCGGTCCAGGATTCTCAACGTCTCAACTCGGTTGATACTCAGCATAACCTCGTCTTACGCAATGTCAATTTGAGAGAACGCAGAGTTTAATAAAATGAGAATTCAAGCATGAGGGTGTGTGAACACTGCCTTGGTGATGAGATATTTGGGTGTTTGTTACTAAGTCAATCGGGTTCGTGAAGTTCAACTACGTTAAGATAGGTGTTTAATTGAAAGATGTACTGTTAGTGAACAGGTTATCGGTCAAAAAAGCTTTTGATACTATTCAGATTGTGCGAATTCAAAAAGATTTTACTCTGCAACTTCAGGGCAACTATGTCCTCTTACGTGGCCAACAAAAAACATGCTTTGACATTGCTCAAGGGCGAGATCTCTACCAAGGAATGACTAACTCACACGGATGGAAAGAACGCTCATTGTTAAATGAGCTTAAATCATTCAGGCTGGTAAAAGTCCCAGAGATTCTGTAACGGATTTCGAGATATGTTGGAGGCCAGTCATTGTTTTGTACTTAAATGCGAAACTTTTCTATCCTGGGAAATGGTCATCGAGACCCAGACTGCTGGCCTTTATCTATCTGAAAACTACTAGGGCTTACAAGGCGTTGTACTGACAGGTAACGCCTATCTTTTGCGTTTCATGGCTCAAATATACGTTAGTTAGGGTTTTTCCGTGAAGCGTAACACTGAATACAGAAGACAATTTCCACTACAGTTAAACAAAACCTCGCAACCTTCAACGATGGGAATTCGTTGCAAGCCATTGAAATCAGCATTACTGACCCAGCCGACGGCACACTTACTGTTGCCGTGCATTTTGTTGTGTTTTGCGTAACAAATAAACCCGAAAACTACAGCTATACAATGCCGAGGGCGCCTTCAAAAGGACCGTAGTGAATGTCACGGCGAGGGCTAGTGGGTCACGATTATTCGGACTGTTTTTAATCTAAGGACCATGTCACCAGAAAGTGAAAGGTTGCGTGGCGGATTTCGAAATGGGAAGTCCAAATACGCATGATCTAAAGCAAAATACATTCCTGGGGGTGGGTCGCTCCACTCAGTGTGTGTGTTCTTCGAGATGCGGACTTCTGATTTCAGGACCTACCAAACGCGAGGTTGAGGTTTTGAATCTTCCAGACAATTGATGTGAGGCGCATCTGAACGAGGATAAAACATTCATGTAGTCTTCCGCTTTTTATCAGCACGGATAGAATAGGTGCATGCATCTATGCAGTAGTAGTCACAGCGAACAGTATTGGCGAATCTGCAGAAATTTAAATGAATTTTGCCGAATTCTCTCCATGATCTCTCATAAATCAAGAAAACTATCTAAACTTTAGTGGAAACTTAAGGTGACAAGGCTCGTGTCATCCAGATGGAGAATGCCAGCAGAGAAATAATTCTGTGGCACCGTTCTCGGGACCTGAATGCGATAGCAAAGGGTAAGGAGAGCACTTTAAGTTGTGGCCAATAAGATCACTGGATAAGATGGTCTTTCTCTGGGTTTGAAGGTCTGGTTTCAGGAACAGTGTGTCCATCAGAGGTGGGGCGGGTAGTTGTAAGAAAGGTACAGCGAGCTAGAGAACAGCAATTTGTTTTTCTTTCGCTTGTTTTTGTGGCAAACATTGTTTCAGTCTAGTGGGCCCTCAAATATAAACAGATTATACGCAGTTTAGAAGACGTTTCAATGTGGAAGAGAGTTCTGTGCCCACAATCATCCCTCATTCATTACTTCTTGATTGTCATTCACTGATTAAGTTAAATGTCCATCAGTTCAAACAGATTACCTTTCGTTCTCGTCGCATCAGTGAAGCCAATTCATCTCGATAAGCTGCTTCATCCTTATTGGGAATCCTCAGCAGTGTGTATCTCACAAAACTCCGAAGATTTCTGAACCCCTGACCTTCCGGCAAGTAGGTTGAACACAATCGTTTGGCAACGAGTGGCTGTTTAGCAGCGTGACTACGTCGCACTTAGAGAGGCTATAGCGCCACTCATCCTTCCTTTATGGTATCCACAACACATGGTCACACTTGTTGACTGACTCGTCGAGCAACGATTCCATCCGATAAGTGAAACTTCCGTCTGATAAGTAGTTGCTCGAGGACCCATTCAACACATGTGGCCACGTGATGTGGATCCACTGACCAAAGGATTAGCGGCGCTGAATTTCAATCGCACTGCTGACCAGCCGCTTGTGGTCGAACAATCAAATGTCCGAAGCACTAGCCATTTTCTTCTATACTTATGCTTTCATATGGAGTATTTTTCCTTGGAAATCTCGGCAGCGGAGGGGAGAGGGGATATGTGCTGGGTTTGAGATTCTTCCCAAATGCCTGGAATATTTGCAAACCTCTCCTAAAAATTGATAGTGGCATCAAAGCTTAGATTGTGACCAACGTAGGACACTACACTCGGACTGACTAGTGTTTTAAATATGAGTAGTGTGCAATACATTTCGCCGAAACTTGACACCGTTGAAGGTGACGTATTAAAACTAACCACATATATCCTCGTTTAAGAAACGAATTTACGAAGTCGTTGATGCCATTCTTATGTTGGTTGGTGGGAACGAAGCAGATAGGGTTGTCTAATTGGGCAAGTTAAAATTCGAGCTTAATCAGAGCTAGACAAAGAGCGGTGCACTCGAAGGGAGAAGAGTCACTACTGATTACTTCCGAACTGTTTGATTTGTCTGGAACAATTTGAGAAGCATACTGTTCAAGACTATTCGCCCTTATACACCATATTCGCTAAATCTTTCGTGGTGTGCTTTGGAAGTTGTACAAACGAAAGTTCACTATCATTCCATCAACCAAATAGCAAGTAGGTGTACAAAGTTTATCGCACTCAATCTCCATCGGACATTAAAGAAGGGTAGTTAGGTCTAATGGGATTATTTTTTCTGTCACTGCAGCACAAGTTACCTTAAAAACCAGGTGATTTGAATCATACACTTTATCTTTTCATAGTGAAATGCCGTTACTGAGCAGACGAAATGACATCCACAGCTGTAACACTGGGCAAGTACAAAACGGCGGTAGTAAAGCAAGTATTCGCAGTCGCTTCTGACCGTAGTACATCATAGCAGCCAAATCTACCAAGTTCATAAACTGTCAAATAACGGAGTTCAAACCCTTTTGAGGCAACAAAAAAACATTTTCTCCGCTGCAAAGACTAAATGTTAATTTTGGTTTAAATCAACGAAGATCCGGATCGCTAAGTAGATGAAGGATGGCGCTCGTTTCGCGGAATGAGAATGTAATCATTCCTGTTTCACCCATGGATTAGACGAAGATGTATTGACTTGAGCACTACCAACTATTTGCCGGGTGTAGCTGATTCACTTGCTTGGCCTATTTTGCGCAGCGCCATCAAGTCTGGAACGCCTAATAGATCGGTTGCGGTCATACGCGTTCATTTTACTGACAAGGGTTTATGAAGTGCCAGGGTGTGTTGCTTGTAGCGTACGCCTGCCCTGATGCCTGTCCTTTTATTGGTCCAAATGACGCAAAACATTTATTCGTCAACGTCAGTTCTGGTCAGAAAGAACGATGTCATGATGCAGACCAAACTAGGAACCTCCTAAGAGATGGTCTGTTTTAAGGCTCGAACTAAAATTACACGGTAAGAATAGTTGATTGGAGATGCTGTTCTGCCTGATTTTACCCGAACGATCACATTTGCCCCATTGCTCAACAGGAACACTTTGATTTACTCAGTCAG